CCCGCCGCCTGCAACAGCGACGCGGATCTCAGCCCGAGACCCGCACCGGCGACGACGACCCGCACCGGCTCCTGCAGCAGCTCGTGCTTTCGGGAAACCTCATCAAGGAGGCGGTGCGCAGGCTACATTCGCGACGGCTACAGCTACACGCAAAGCTTCCCGCACACCCGTTCCTCGGGCCAATGTCAGCCCCGGTGCACGAGCCGCCTTCGCCCGGGAGCCCTCGAGCGGCCTGCAGCGACCCTGGCGACTGCGCGAGGAGGGCGCGGCACAGAACTGGGGACGACTTTCTTGTCCCTGGCAGCTAACAACCAGGGTGGCCACCGCACCAGCCTGTACCTGGGGACCAAGGGATTCACCCAGGACAGCACCGGGTTGGTGGAGGACTCGAGCCTTTGCAAACGAGATAATAAGCTAAGGAATACAGCAGAAAAATCGCAAATATTTTCATGGGGTAGCTGAAGTTGAGAGCCCCAAATTATTTGAAATCCGGGATTTAGGCTTGTTTAAAGAAGCAGATTTTATAGAGCGCACCGCAGGCTGTCAGCAGGACTCCTTTTCTGGCGTAATTCAGCCTGGTAGCTGCAATTCCGCGCAGACTCTGCTGTGGCAATCCGGCGACCACGTGGCCATGGTGCATGCTCTCAGGATCAGCCAGCCATGGAACGAAGGACGATGATCACAGTTACTTGCTGTACTTTTCAGGACTGCTTCCTGATCCACTTTGGGGGAGGGGGGAACAAGAATGGATGTAGTTTCGGGGAACACCCCAAAATACTACACTTGAACATTTTATGGCAGTTAAAAGACCGTCTCATGTCTTTGCGGTGCTGGTTTTAATGTAAAACATGCGGTACCACTAAAGGACCCTCTTGGGCCTAAGTAGAAGTAACATTTTTTCGCCTGTCTGTACCTTTTTTGCAACTGGTTGCTGTTACCGGAGTGTTGAGGGAATGTCGTACCACACGTGGGGGTGGGAGGCGGCAGTGAGCGGTGTTGGGCGATGGAAGGGTACGTCAAAGCCTGGATTGAACTCTCCTGCCTTCCTAAAGTGTTTTTAAAGGCGACCGGTTCCTGCTTGGGTTCAAGGTCACTGTTTCCTGGGTGTGCACCGCGTTATGGGGCACCGGCACATAGACTAGCCTAATTGCCTTGCTGGGAGAAGATCGTACTGTTTTGCAAATACTGGAGTCCCCTAAGGACACGCGCCCTACCTCCCGGAGAAGCGGGGGCGGGGTAGTGCTGGGTGTCTGTGCTTCCCGCCTGGGGCCACCGCCCCTGCCCCTTCTCTCGGCTTGCACAGAAACTGCCTGGAGACAGTGTCCCCAGTACCACCTTTCCCCCTTGGCTCTGCTGCCCTGCTCAAGCCTGAGGATCCTAGGGGCCAGGAAGGGGGACTAGGGCGGCTCTACACAAGGGGCACTCCCGGCACACAGTCTCACACAGCCGCTTATAATGGGCTCTCGGGGCCATTTGTAATAACAGCTGCAATTCCCTGGATAGAGGGAGTTGATTTCCTCCTCCCCACCCTCCCCCAGCTGTGCCAGCTCGCCTTTGTAAGTGAAGGAAACCGAGTAGAAAATGTGACCCTCCAAATGGAAAAGCTGCAGGCTTTTTGCTGTTGTGTTTGTGATGTGCTTGGAAATTCTGTTCACTCTGAGCGACCGTTTCGTTTTAGTTTTATGGAGTCAGTGGCTTGTTGAGCATCCAGATGTGGCTATTGACCAATCTACACTTCGCACCGAAGTGACTGGAATTGTGGCTGTCCTGATTATAGGATTTTAACTTAACTGAAATAACTGTTTTTGAATAAATGTGTTGGGGTTTTTTGTTGTTGTCGTTGTTGGCTTTTATTTTGTACTTCCCTCCAGTGGGAAAGATGTACAGAACACGTTTCTCTGATCTCCATAAACATGAAAACACTTGAAATCCCTGTCAGCCTGGCTTGCGGATGGTAATTAGAGGCCTTTGTGTCTGAGCAGCTCACTAGTTAGACGAGGTCTGTGCAGCTGGGTGTGTATCGGTGCTGGCATGAAATTAAATGAAAGTGAGGTCAGGTTTTGGATCAATCGCATTCACCAAACCTTTTGGGTGTCAGAGACAGCAAAGTCTTAGGAAGACGCCTGGCAGACCATCAGGTTGTCAGGGCTGCAGTCTGAGATGCTTACTGCCCCTCCCCCTTCCCTTCTGGTGCCATTCAGTGGGCCATTGATCGGGAGCTACTCAAGATACTTGGAGCTGATTGTAGGAACACTGGTTGAGATCTTATTAAGTAGCTCCTCCCCCTTGCTGCCATTCTGACCCAGCAATGACACAACCGCCCATTTCTATTCCTGTCTGGAATACTTCAGTCTGTTCCCTCAAGGAAGAAGCTGAGTTGGGTGACAGGGATACCTCATGTTTCAGTCCACCTGTGAAGTGAGAAAGGGACTTTGGAAGTGTTGGAATTCTGTGGCTTTTCCATTTCCTCATCTGGGCAGCAGGGTCAGTGAGATTTGGGCTATGTGATGGCTGCCCTTTGTGTACTAGAAAATGGTAGGTGGCCCTTAGCCCCTCCTTTCCAGAACTGGCTTTAAGCAGCCAGGTGACTGAGGTCCTCAATTTTTCATCCAACAAAACCTGCTCATTGGGGATGCTCTCTGTCTTGTGCCCTAGTTGTCAACTCTCTTTTGACTCAATGTACCATTACATCTTAAATACATAAGACACTGTCTCTTCAGAACTCCAGCAAGGGGAGAACGAGTATAGAGGTTCGAAGACAAGGAAGGGGCAGTGCTGAACATGTGTGCACAGTGGTCCAGGGCTCTGATGTGGGCATATCCCTGAGCCGGTAAGCCAGAGTCTATAGTTTTGGATGAACTTCTCAGAGATCTAGGTCTGAGAGCAATCCAGAGCTTTCCAACCCCAAACTGGCCAGGATTGAATGCTGATACACTGAAGGGCTAGATTTTTTTTTTTTAATTGGTTTTTCGAGACAGGGTTTCTCTTTGTAGCCCCGGCTGTCCTGGAATTTGATCTGTAGACCATGCTGGCCTTGGACTCACAGAGATCTGTCGTCTCTGCCTCTGGAGTGCTGGGACTAAAGGTGTGCACCGCCACCACCAGCCAGCAAGAGCTGGCTTCTTATAGTAAGAGTGCTGCCAAGCATGGTAGTTAATGTTTACATCCCAGCACTTGGGAAGCTGAGGCAGAAGGATTGCTACAAGTTCCAGGCCAGCCTGGGCTATAGAATGAGACCATGCTTATAAATAAGCAGCCAGAGCTCACCCTGGAAAAATGAAACAGAAACTAGATTTGGTACATGCTCATAATCCAGCACTTGGGAGGCACAGTCAGGAGTTAAAGGTCATCCTTGTCAGTTATAGATTGGGGCCAGCTTGGGCTACATAGGACCCTTTATTTCTGAAGGGGGATAAAATAGTTGTACAAACCTTTCTATAAAAATCCTGCCAAGGGCTGAGGACCTAAATCAATGGTAGAGCTCCTGCCTAGAATATACATGGCCCTGAATTACACACTACAGACTCACCTGCCAAGGTAAACACAATGGCATGCAGGTAGTTCCAACCACCCAGGAGGCCCAAGCAGAACAGGGGAGTCAGCCCTGGAGTTTGTTTTTATCTTTAAGATTTATTTTATTGCCTATATATACATATATATATGTGTGTGTGTGTGTGTGTGTGTGTGTGTGTGCTACATCCATGCCTGCTGTTCTCAGAGGTCAGAACAGGGGTTCAGATCCCCTGGAACTGAAATTACAGATGGTTTGAGCCACTGTGTAGGTGCTGGGAACCGAATTCAGGTCCTCTGCAAGAGCAACTATTGTTCTTAACCACTGAGATACCTCTCCAGTCCCCAGCCCCACAGTTTGAGAGCAGCCTTGGCAATATGACAAAATGCAGCCCATTTTTTCTCTCTAGTCTAAGATTCTTCAAAAGGTACCTACTTAATAGAAGGTAAGTAAATAAAAATTACAAACCTTGCCGGGCATTGGTGGCGCACATCTTTAATCCCAGCACTCGGGAGGCAGAGGCAGGCGGATCTCTGTGAGTTCGAGACCAGCCTGGTCTACAAGAGCTAGTTCCAGGACAGCCTCCAAAGCCACAGAGAAACCCTGTCTCGAAAAACAAAAACAAAAACAAACAAAAAACTTACCTTGCCAAGTTCTACTATTCACCCTTGAATCCTTTTTTAGACTAGAATAAGTCATAATGTATATAAATGATTAATGGCATTAGAACTGCACTGTCTGGCAGGTTGAACCCCAGAGTTTCAAGAAAATTAAGCAAATATTCTACTACTGAGATACACCCAATCATATCAGAGTATTCTCTAGATAGAACAACAGACCAGGAGCATGGGCAGTAAAGAGTGATTCTCTAAAGTCATTGATCAAGTCTGTCTGTCTAGTAGCCAGATTTCTGGGCTGTCAACTCAGGCCTTTTTCCAGACTCTCCACACTACATAAAGGGTCCAAAACTTTGTTTACTGGGCAGGCCTGCATGTAAATGGTAACTTGGTGGTTGTCCATATTGGTAACCTTGACATTGGAACCCTGGGAAGTGCTGTCCCAACTACCCAGATTGATCTGTGGAATGTCAGGTATGAGATAGGGTCTCATGTAGCCCAGGCTGACCTTCCACTTGCTTCATGAGAGAGGATGATCTCAAACTCTTGACCAACTCTCAATTTCCCAAGTCCTGGGATAGCATGTGTTATTGAGTCCTGGGGGTTGAATCCAGAGCTTCATGTATGCTAGGCAAGCACCACCTGGGCTCCCTCCCTTTCCCACTGTAGCCACTCTTATGAAAAATCTGCCAACTGTGAAGACAGCAGGCTACAGAAGATGCTCAGGTGAAATAAAAGGCCAAAGCTACAAACCGAAACAAAAAAACTAAAATTAATCAATGAGCAAATAAATGGTTTGGATAAATGAAAGGCATATAGACCACTCCAAAGTCTGCCATCCTAAGATCATCCTAAACCAGACTTAAATGCTCTTTGAATTCAATTTTTATCTTTTTTTCCCCCAGTTTTTTTTTCCAGCTTAGAAGCAGGAACATGGAGTGAAGATCAGACAACACTTTCCTATCCAGCAAAGTCTGTGTTGAACCCTGTGATCCCTTCTTTCCAATCAGAAAAGAGTTACCTTGGCAACCAAATTACTAACTCACTCAATTAGCGCTTTCCCCCTTTCCACCAATGCTAGGTAATCACAGAACGTCAGCCCCAGAGAGCTTTGCCTCATCTAGAGATGGAGGTGCCCTCCACATGATGCTGTGAAAGCTGGTACAGGCAAAGAAGGAAAACTCTCCTGGGCAGTGTTTGCATCCATATTTAAAGGGAGCGCAAATGACCTGCCCTTGACTTTCTCCCAGACACAGGGAACAAGAGCTGGGCTCAGCAAGCAGTTCTCTGAGGCTAGCTGTGTGCTTTGGGGCAGGGTCCACAACCTCATTATGTCAATAATTCATCTGCAAAATGGGATAAGCACAGAGCCTAACTTGCAGGACTGTGGGAGATAAGGATCTTGTGCAGCCCAGGTTGAGCCTCCAGCCAGTGCTCACCCTGAACTCCTAATCCTCTCACCTCTGCCTCCCAAAGCCCTGGATTCTAAGGATCCACTACTTCTGGCTCAGGAAGCTGTTCTACAAAAGCGCCAGTTGGGAGTCTTTGGTAGAAAAGCCTGTCTCAGTGACTTCTTCAAAAATCCCTTCCTCCCTCTCTCTCTTCCTCTCTCCCTTCCCCTTTTCCTCCCTCCCTTTTCCCCCTCTTCCTTCTGAGGCCTCATGTGTAGATTGTATCACAGAACCATATACCCTGATCTTTCTTAAAAGCACAGGGAATCCAGGCCTGGCCAGATGCCCTAGTGAGTAAAGGTGCTCACAGCCACACCTACAACCCCAGTTCAGCCCCTTGGACCCACATGGTGGAAAGAGAAACCAACTCCCATTAGTTGTCTTCTTGTGTGTTCTGTGGCACGTGCATGGCCACACACAAACACATAAAATTAATTTTTTTAAAAAAGCACAGGGAAGCCAATGAGGGAATTCACACCTGTAGCCCTGATATTTGGGGAGGTAGAAGCAGAAGAATGACAAGTTCCAGGTCGTCCTTATTTGTCTATTTATTTATTTATTTGCATTTTTCAAACAGAGTTTCTCTGTGTAACAGCCCTGGCTGTCCTGGAATTTGCTTTGCAGACCAGACTGGCATCGAACCACAGTCTCCCAGAGTGTTGGGATTAAAAAGGCGTGCATGGCCCCTGCAGGGCTCATCCTTATTTACATGGCAAGATCAAGGCCAGCTTGAGTTACATGGGGTGCTGTCTCAAAACACAAACCAAAAAGGCACAGAGACTGGATATATAGCTCAGGGGTAGCATGCACAAAACTGTCCCCTCTGAGGTCAGACCACTGGATCTTAAGCCTAGTTGCAGCTTCACGGGTGTTAAAGGTAGGTGAGACCAAAGAAATCATCTAAATGTTCACTAAGGAAAGGGTAGAAATCACCTTCTGGCCAAGCCAGGGGAAGAGCTTGAGGTTAGAAGTTGTAAAGCTGGGGCAGTAGAAATACCACAAGCGAAGCGTACAGTGAAGCCAGCCTGGGGCCCAGCTCTTACGACCCCCTCCTTCCTTATAAGAAAGCCCACCCTCTTCTAATTCAATTTCTGTGCTCAGCTGAGGTTCAGCTTGCCTGCCCCCTGCACTTCTGTCTATAATTTGTGCTGAGAAAAATCATGCAATTGTGTCCCAGGAATTGTGTTCCAGTTCATTTTGTTCCCCTGTTCATCTTATTTACTGTCATTACAGAGTTATCTCGGGGACTCATATGT